CGACTAATTAATTGATTCATCTTTATCTTTATCCTTGTTAAAGTGGACAACGAAAATTTCATCAAGGTTAACTTCTGGTCTTTGCTTGAAAAAGCATAACTTTAGAGGAAAATAATAGATAATTGACATTCTAATAAAACAAAACTGTGTTAGAATCATTATTTTTATTAAGTAAAATTAAACGTTAAAAATAAAAATAAAAATAAAAATAAAAACATTGTCTTTATTTTCTTTATTTAAATCGTAGTTAGTACCTTGGTAAAAGGTAATAATTGTGGGGATATGGTAAAAAGACACGTTTATTTGCTTTAGTGAGCAAGCAAGCAAGGCTAGGACTAACGTTGTTGTTGGTTAATTAGTGGTGTCAATGAAGTATCGTCCAAAGGTTAATTGGAAATACTGGTGGTATTATTGTAATCGTAAATGTTAAACAAGCTACTTGAGTTGTTTTGTAAGTAAACCAAAGCGAGTTTGCAATCAGTCAGCAAACGACTGAAACAAATCGATCATAAGTGAATAAAAGGAACTTATAGCATTGCAAAAGGCCATCTTTATTTAATTACAGTTATCTGGGACCATAAAGTGTGCCTACAGATTCGTCTAGATGTAAGAAGAAAGAGGGAATTTGTAAACTAATTAATTGACAAGCACCTAATTATTAACTGACAAGAGTAGCCCAAAAGTTAGGTCATAATTGTTAATTAAGAGGAATGGTATCTTGTAATGTCACCATTTAACAAGAATCACAAAACTTGGAAAATTTATTATAGGAAATATTATTATAAGAAACAAGATAAAGATAATAAAAAGATAAATAAAAAGAAGATAATAAATAAATTTATAGTGGAGATTAAATTAGCCATTTTTCTTTTACTATTTTACTACAATACTAGATTAATTAATATTGTTAGTAATAATTAATAGATAGTAATTTCCAATTAATTATAATGAAATTTTTATTTACCTTTGTTAACATTTTAGAGAAAAGAATTAAAATCAAGATCATTTAACGAACTATCATTACTTGTATAAATTTTAAAGCTTTTAGATTTAGCAATCTCTTCGTCTAATATTCTACTTGTATGATATGCATCTGGATGTGATTTATGTGCTTGTTGTGAAGCACTGCCACTACCACCATCGCCACTGCTGCTGCCACCATTATTAAAATCGATTTCATGTTTTTTGATTTTAAAAAATTTGAATAATATTTTTATTAAACTATTATTGCTACTATTATTTTTCAAACTTTCATTTTTAATAATTTCTCCAAGTTTATTATCTCTAGCAAATATCCAAAGCTCTCCACTAGTTGGCCTTTCTGATGGATTCACATCCCAACACCTCTGCATCATTTGTGCATAATCATCAGGCATTCCAGGTAATATTGGTGGTCGTAAACCTTCACATATATCAAAAATCAAACGATGATTGTGAGGTCTATCATCAAATGGTGGATATCCTGCAAATATTTCCCACATTAACATCCCAATACTATAGATATCTGATTATTTTGTGTTCTTTGTGTTGTTGCCTCTAAGTAGCTCAGGTGCAACATATGATACAATTCCATAGACTTTATTTCATCAACTGGTCCACATAATCCTAAATCTGTAATATAACAGCCACCTCCACTTATTAATACATTACCACTATGTAAATCACAATGGATTAAATCTTTCTGATGTATCCGATATAATGTCGCAACCCAAAAAAGGAAACAAAATGGTTGTAAAGGCGTTTGCAGTCATTTTTATATGACGCAAAGGTGGTAGCAACCATCATCAAAAGTTGCAGCCGGTATCCTTAATATAATGCATTATATAAATAATCAATGATTGTAATTCTGTCTTTTAATGTTAAATTTAAATGCAAATAATCTCTTAAATTTCCTTCTGAATGATAATTTAAAACTATTGCATAATTTCCATTATCTGGGAATTTAGTTATACCATAGCTTTAGATTGCCTTTTTTATCCATTGCATTTTTTAATTTCAGAAAGCTCCTTGTTTTTTTTTGGCAAATGAAAAAAAAACATCTTTCATTCTTTCTTTATCAGAATTAAACAAAGCATTATCATACATTTCATTATGAATTTTATCCACAAATTCTTTTCTTTCTGATGTTAATGATAATAATCGGTTAGAATGTGACATTATATAAAAATATAAAATATAAAATTTGACTTGGTGTTCTAATGTTTTAATGAATAGAGTGGAAATTTGAGAATAACAGTTATTAAAAGGTTACCGTGTTACGGTTACTTTCTAAATGTAGATTTAACAATTTTACCAAATTTGAAGAAAATTCAGTGCAGTTACAGATGGGATCAAAATCAAAGGTAGTTAATACTACAACGCTTGATAGTGTAATATCCTCATCAACATCATTGCTAAAAAATTGAAACTTGTGTTAAATTATCAACATCATGGAATATAGATAATGACTATCGTGAAATATTGATAAAGATAACAAGATGACGAATAAACTATTTGAATTCTTAAATGAAAAGTTTAAAAAAATAAGATAACCTGTCCTTGTCTTTTAATAAGATAATTCTATATATTCAGGATGAATAATCAGGAAGTTTTTTCCTTATCATTAGCTCCTAGTTGCATAACCTTATTCTCCACTTTAAAGTTAAACACATCATGTTTTCGAAATGAATGATTAAATTCAAATTTTATCTTCATGGTCCATATCCATTTCATTTCCATGTGTTGAATGATCTTTATCATCCTTCTCCACATACCCATTATCATTGCCACACCCAGTAACAGATAGAATTGTTGTGCGTGAATTTCAAATTGACCAATCAGAATTTTGTATCCAAACGTCCTACCCCAAAAATTAATTAATAATTGATGCAAATTCACAACGAAATCATATCAATTGATTCAGCTATGGGTCTCTTTTCAATTTCTTTGAATATATGCAGCATAGACCTAGTCAATTCTATTGATTCAGAAAAATATGGTTGTAATAGCTACCACAAAATCGTCATCCTTTATAATGCCTACCGAAGTAAGATTGCGAGAACCAATATTAGTTTACAAAATTCAGGTGATACATTTGCATAAATCACCTATCTTTTAAAAGGTACCACCAACCAGACTACACCGTTGGTAAGAATGCACTATCCTACTTCAATCTTTTTATATATATACCAAGAGGTCCAAGGACCCGAGGTGATTTCCGTTGCCTAAATAGTAGAACGTCATTTTGTAAGTTTTTTGTTATTATTAATATTAAATATACAATAGATATGATGATAACTACTACTTCCACTACTTCTTGCAATTTTTGCGTGATATCTGAAGGGAGACATCACGAAGTTTATGTTAGTGATTTACAGCAAATCTTTGCTGATTTAGCTTAGTGTTGGATGTGCAAATATAGAAATGAGGATAATTTGATGCGTTTTTGTTTGTTTGTTCATGTTTATGGAAATATATTATTTACTAACGATTGTACAAAGTACCATTTTTTTTAATAATAATGAAAATAGTAATTCATTGTTTCGCCGCATATTATTAATATTACTTTTGGCATTAGCATTAGAAAATAATTTTTCAACAAAGTATTATTAACAGGGTAAAGGAACCCTTGGATAAATTTAATATAAAAAATCACGAAATTGATTATTACACGTACTTTTATGATTATTAATTTAAAATGATGTAATCAGGTGAGAAATATATATATTAATATATTTACATATTTTTGATTGGCCTTTCTTGATTCATCATATTTTTATAAAAATTGTCTTGGTTTCTTTTGGAGCGAAAACAATCTTTTCATCTGACCATTTAAATAACAATTGAACAAAACATAATAGAATCGACTTCTTATTGTTATTATTAAAATTATTATTGATAAAACGTTGAGAATTTAACATTATCACGTATATATAATTAAGAATTTTTTGACTTGTAAAACCACAATATTTTCTTGCGCTCAACAAATCCAAACTTGTATCTATCAAGGGCCTGGTTATCGATTTATATACATTGACTGATAAGAATTGGCTAAATACGAAACTGCCGAGGATATAACGAATGAGTTTTATGAGGGGGGGCATGTTATTGTTAATATATATATATATATATATCATTTTGTTTTATTTCAAATAAAATTTTAATCCATTGACTAATTTTAAGCCATGTATTTATTAACAGACTCGTATATTTAGTTAACGTCAAATTGAAAAAACCAAAATTAATAAACTAAAATTTATTCGTATGAAAATTGAAGATGAATCTTAAAATTCATGATAACCACAATCTGACGAGTTGGTTTGAATGTCGTTGGGCACGACAACTGGACTCGTGGATAGACTCCTAAACGTTTGTGTGGCACCAACGACAAAAGCCTCCGATAATAAAACCATAAAAGGATTGATGAAATGAATATGGCTCTGTAGATGAGTTGCGCGGCACAAAAAGATATTAATGATGATGGCAGCCACATCAAGTGTCTGTCTGGTAATCAACTTTTTTGATCATTTGTACCTATTGGCTGATAATAAAATCGAAATAGATCAAGAAATGTCATCTTCTGTTACTAAAAGGAAAACGGATGATATTATGAAAATAATAGATATAAGGTAGGTCAATAGTGGAAAAATCAAGGTTGAGAGATTAGAGAGTATGTGAAATTCGTGTGGAGAAAGAGAAAAAAAAATAATAATAAATATATATAAATATATTAAATTCTTTTTAGAATATTTAGTGTGATTATTAATATTAATGTGTGTCAATCAAAAGAGTGCACAAAAATTATTAATAATAACGTCCTATCATTACCCAAAATACCATATATATATATTTTTTCTCCAAACTTTTTTGACAATGTCTATTGTCGTTGCAACGACACTTATAAACAGGATATTAAAGCAAGGTATTTTTTTTTACTTTTGAAAATAAAATTATTAGAAATCATTTTTAAATATAAAAGTTATTATTAATAATAATATATAACAACAACAATAATAAAGGTAATGGACGACAATCGAATATTGACAAATGTTGTTTTCTCAGTTAGAGATCCAGCTCCTGAACATATAATAAAAGCCATAGCTCGTAAAGTATTATCAAAAAGGCGAACAAGTAACAATAATCATAACAATCATAATAATAACAACATTAATAATAATAATAATAATGCTGGAGGTCATGATCATAATCATCATCATAGATTAATAAATGGGCATTCAAATAATAATAATGTTAATGACAATAATGATAATAAAAATGAAAGAGGACATTTATCATCAGAAGAAGAAGAAGGTGAATATGTTAGTAGTAATAATAATGAACATGATGATGATAAAGGATCTTTGTTGAATGATGATAACAGTGGGGATAATGATAATTTAAATGAAGTTATAATGGATGATGAAGATAGTTCTTTATCGATTTCTAATAATGATAATATTTCTAATGAAGAAGAAGATTTAATTGAAGTATTATCATCATCTTTTAATAAAAATAATAAAAATATGAGTAATAATAATAACAATAATAGTAATAGTGTTAATAATGCTAATAGTAATAATAATTTTAGTAATAGTATGACTGATAGTAGCAAGGATATTGATAATGAGATGGAAGACCCTAGAAATCAAGAAAATAAAAAATCAGATGAAAATGTTGACAAGTTTAATAAACCAGTTACTACAACAATTAAAGATCACAATGGAAAAGATTCAATAATAATACTGAACGAAGAAAACAATAATAATGATGATGATGATGAAGGGTTTATTATTGCAAAGATTAAAGAATTGACAACTTTAAAGAAAAATTTGTTTCAAAAATTACGTGAGACAGTTTCTGAAGAATCTACGCAAGAAACTATTGCTACTACTACCACCAATAATAATAATAATAATAATAATAGTAATAACAATAATAATAATATAATGTAAGGATTTATTTTTTATGGATTTTTGAAACAATTTCCGAAAAAATCGCATAACTTTTTTTTGATTTAATAATATAGGAAAAGGTCTACATTAAAAAACAACAATATCAATAATAATAATGATGAATTAAAAAAAGGTAAATGTTTAATTTTTCAAGAATAATAAACAATTAATTTCAAAAATATTAAATCTTTTTTCAAAATTTCAAATTCAGATGGGGAAATAATACCTTTTCAAAGTCAAATATATATTGGTAATAGACGTTATAAAGAACAATCTTCACCGCCTTTGGGACCGTCTTTTAATAAAAGAGTTCGCGGTTTATCAACATCGAATGGAATGTATTATGATTCAGTATATCATAACAATAATAATAATAACAGTAATAACAATAATAATTACTTTAGTAATAACAATAATAATAGCTTTAATAATAGTAGCAATAATAATTATTATTATGGTCAATCTTTACAATCATCACCACATATTTCTTCTTCCTCATCTTCAACAAGTTCAAATTCAAATTCAAATTCTGGAAATATGATGATGGTAAATATATATATATATATATATATATATTAAAATATGTATAATATAATTATTGAAATATAAATCTTATTTGATTTGATTTTTTAGGGAAGAACAAGAGATGATCAATATTCTTATTATCATAGAAATGACTACCATCCTGTTCCTCCCCCTTATATAGATCATCATATTCCATATGGAAGAGGATTATTAAATAATAATAATAATATGTCAAGGGTATTTTATCCAGAAAAATATTATGATTAATTATTATTTATTCGTTGATTGATTGATATTAACTTTTATTTTTTCAATTCGGTAAACTTAAAGCGATCTTCTAATGCACCACCACCTTTACAATCCGGAAGATCAACAATCCCACGTCCATCAGATAGATTACGTAATAGATATTAAAAAAAAAAATAGATAAATATTATTATTTAGCTATTATTGTTTATACTTATTTAGTTAATATTATTATAAATTATTTTTTTTTTATTTTCAAATTTTTTTTTTAAATCAATGTATATATTTTTGCAATCAAATTTTTTTCTTCAAATCCTTCCTTTCCCCTGTTTTTTTTTTTTAAAATTCATTAATTAATTAATCACACAAATCATAGATTTATTAATAGTTATTATATTATTATTTTTTTTTTTTAATATATATATATATATATCACTACATACACATTTTATTTTTAATTAAAATTTACCAATTTATTTGCTTCAATTAATTTAGGCTGAATCTTTCTCCTGCTGATTATTCTCATCAACAATAATACAACTTTCCGATAGTGCTTTCTCACTTTCAATAAAATTCTCATAACTTTTTTCAAAATCTTTTAACCAAATCTGATTTATTATGACAAAACCGTATTTTTCTCCATAAACAAATACACCTTTGCGTGTCATTGAATCGATCGTCCCTTTGATAGATTTCATGTTTATTGTTGGATGATAACGATAATCGGTAGAGGTAGAGGGAGAGGAGGAAGAAGAAGCAGCGGCAGCGGCAGCAGCAGCTGCTGCTAATTGTTTTTTACTATTGTTCATATATACACGAGCTAGTGAATCTTTGTGTATGTCTTTTAATAAAACGAATTTCCATACTTTCTTTAACAAATCAGATTCTTCTTGTGTTAATCCTTTTCCATTACAATATTCGAAAAAATAACTACTTGAAAACAAATCTGAAATGGAAGTTCCTGGGAGTTTATATTTTATATTTCGATTCACAGTTACTTTATTTTTCTTGATTTTTTTTTCGTTCCTCTTTTTGTTACCACTATTATTGTTATTATTTGTATTTGAATAATCTTCGTCATAGAAATTTGATTCTTCAGAGTCATCAGTTTCGCTATCCCTATCGTCTTCATCGCCATTTTCATCTACTTTGATAATCAACTTATTTTCAATAAATCTGTCAAATGCATCAAGGGCTGCAAGATATCGATCATCTGATTTTGGTTTGGTTTTGGCCCATCTGTCATATCTCTTTTCGAGTATTTGTATTATAACATGTTTTCTATATTCCTATAAATAAAAATTATCGTAAATCCATTTAAACAAATTTTTATTTTTCACGTTATAAACAATTTAGCATAATAGCAATGCAAATAAATAAAAATATTCATTACATCGCCTCTAATCAATTCCTTGTTCAAAAGTTCATAACATTCAACATCCTCTTCTTCCGTTGATTTAGGATTGAACTTTTCGTAATTTAAATATTCCTCGTTCAAATTATCTTTTAACAAATTCTCATAAATCTGAAATCCAGCAAAGGCATCCGCCGAAGCGTATATGATCAACTCTGAAGTCAAATACTGATGATCAAAATTATAATTAAAAAGTTTTTTTTTTGATTTTTCTAGCACAAGGCCAGGATCAGCAAACATCCTTGTCAATTCTGACAACGAATTCGCTGAATATCCTTTCCTGTGAGCCATTTTCTCCAAATCTACCAAACCGTTGCACTCGAAATCATACGAATCTCTCAACCAATTACTATCGCCTGTAGCATTAACACCGACCTTTAATATTCTCCCATCACAAAGAAAATTCTTTAATTGTCTTGGAAAGTAGTCGGAATGACCTCCTGTGATTCTATATACTTGAAATAGAAAACAGAAATCGCGCGTTGCCAATTGTATCATTGAAACTAGCCGACGATCTTTTTGTCTGAACACTGTTGTCTCTGTGTCAAAACCGACATAACCAGGATTCCAATAACGATATCTTTTCAATATGTAAAAACATTTTTCAGCTAAAGTAAATAAATTAATTAGTTAATGATTGATGAATAAATGAATGAATTAAATAGGTATAACTGATGGAAATTGTGCGCATTTATTATAATAATTATTGCCATCTTTTGCTAAAACATAAACATAAAGATAAATATATTTACCATGCCTCATTTCTCCCAATTGATAAACAGGCGGATTTTCAGAAACTTTTGGTATTCCAGATTCGTCTAAACTTTTAATGATACTCCTCGGGTTTAAAGTACCTCTATTGTAATAAGTCATCTTTATTATTATTTATTATAAAAAACAATATATTATATAATTATAATTATTACAATTATTAAAAATAGTGTATTTGTTTTATATCATGTATATTTTTTACATTGAAAGGAAAAATAATATTTTAAGAAATATACAAATATAATTAAATCATTCGATATTTAGTACAACAACAATAATATTTATTATAAAAGAAACTTGGAAAGCAAAAAGTTGCAAGAATAAAGAGTAAAAAAAACTTGCACAATTATATTTCCCATTTAATGCATCTGACCAATCAGCATCAAGGGAAATCATTGCTTAATAATGAAATGAATGGTTTAAAAGGAATTTTGTGAAACGTTATCATTTTTAAATGGAATGAATGAATATTGATTCATTCTACTTGTTAAAGTCACAATGAAATGAATATTTCTAGAGAGGAATTTATACTGTGTCACAATTTTTTGCAGGATGCAGAGGATGCAGAGGACTGCCAAGCCTTCCTACCATCAATCTTTCATATGTTCTAATGTTAACATGTTACACTTTGAACAAATTTTGGAAGTTCTAAATTCGGGTGGGTATCTTCAAAGCTACATGACGACCAAGATGTTCCAGGCGGCAAAGTTCCTTAAAAAAAATTCTACACACACCTGCTCGTTTACTCTTCATGCAAACATTAAACATTACATTACCAAATGCAACGATTTTTTGGCTGGTGGCAATTGCAGTAATTGTAATGATTGTATTGGAGATAATGACAATGATGGTGATTGTATTGGCTGCAGGAATTGCATTGGAGATAAGAACTGCATTATTGGTTGTGATAGTGATTTGGTGGTGGCGATGTGGTATATTTTCACTTTTGATGAACTGTCCAACCCATTTTGCAGTTGCTCTTTGCCTTCTATGATAAATTTTAAATCGTAACTTAATCATAAAAATTGGTCAGAGTAATATGGTTTTGGGAGAATGTGGTGGATATAATTGTCAAGCAATACGGAGGCCTTTGGTGATGGAGCATTATTTTCAATAATTAACGCCTGGTCTTCTTCTTTCTTCCAATTTAATCTTTGTGTTGTTGCTGCTTGATTATATTCTGACTGCCAAGCGGTAAAGTTCTTTTGTTGGCATTCTCCTGGTTTCATGTGCTACGTTATTATCATTCATTAATGCCGGGTCTACTCCCAACAATCAATCTTTATTAAAATCAATATTTATATCACTACAAAATAAAAAATTAATCTGACCCCCCTCTATCCAAATCCTTTAACAAATGATTTAATGTCTAGCTGTTGATTTCAATATTCCCAAGTGAAGTGTACAGCTGTTATTTTTATGTGTTTTTCAACAAACTTCATTATATAATTTTTTGGTGATGCTGATAAAGTAAAATATCCAATCTTTTGCTCAAAATTATTACAAACTAGAGATGTATGGTTATTCTTTTGGAAAATTGTGGCAGTTTCAATATTCTTTTTATGAATGAACACAAAATAATTAGATTAAAGAAATCGGATATTACAATCGGTAAACCTATTACTATGAAATATAAATTTATAAAACGGGAAATTATTCAAATGAGACAAAAAAAGGCAAAAAAGCGTCGCACCACTTGTAATAATAATTTAAAACGTGGCATTATAGTGAGTGTAACGTCTATAAATTAGATCGTGGTGTAACAACAGATGTCTATTTAATTTCCGCATGTTCATTAGTACATAAAATTAATTAAAATTCTTTTTCTTTAATTTTTTCAAATACACACAACTAAAAAACTTTACATTAATCTTTTATATTGATAATATGAATTTTTGGTCAGGGTAAGTTATTACATTATTTATTAAACGATTAAAATGTCAATCAACATTTCAAAAATGTTAGTTTTGATAGTTTTAACCAATAACCAATCTAATCAAACATTTATATATACTAGCAAAAGTAAAAAGAATACTATTCGTTCTAGAACAACCCCGGTCTCACGTCCTTTATTCCTTTCACAACCTTTTATCGATGCAACATTAGTAGAAGGAAGTTTTAAAAAAATCGTTGTTTTACCAAAACATGTAAACGAAGATGAATGGTTTGCTGTAAATGGTTTGCATATGAAAACTTGATTTGTATTATTATTATTTTAAGAAATATTCTCACGTTATTTTAAATACTCCAAAAACCATAGTGGTTGAATTCTTTACATATCTTAATATGTTTTATGGAACCGTTACTGATTTTTGTACAGCAGTCCGTTGTCCAACTATGAGTGCTGGTCCAGGGTGAATGTTTTATAATTTTTCTGTTAATATTGAAACGAATGAAAGGATTCGTAATAAGAAAATTAAGCTTATTGAAATGCATATCATCAATGTTATTCATTATTAGATTTGAACCTTATACTTGGACAGATCAAAATCAAAAAAAGAGTACAAAGTTATCTGCTCCAACTTACATTGATTACGTTATGACTTGGATTGAAAATCTTATCAATGATGAAAATATTTTTCCTACAAAAGTTGGTAAGTCAATACACAAATATTACTTATAATAAAGATTTCTTCATACATATAATAATATAACATCATTCTAACATATAATTCTTCACACTAATGACAATAACAATAATTTTTAAAAAAGGTCGAGAATTCCCAAGAGATTTTCATCAAATAGCTAGAACAATATTTAAACAATGTTTTAGAGTATTCGCGCATATATATTATAATCATTATGAACAAATCTTACATCTCCGGGAAGAAAAACATTTCAATTCATTATTTGCACATTTCACGTCTTTCGCCAAAGAATTTAATTTATTGCAAGATAAGAAAGAATTAGCACCGTTAGAAGATTTAATTGTCTATATGGAAAATAATGGTCGTATTAGTTAAAGGTTAGTTAATTTAGAGAGAATTAGTTAGTTTGGTTAGTTTGGTTAGCTAACTAGGGGTGAATACGATATTTTTTTATTTTTCTTTGGTTAATAACAAATTTTTTCGTTAATAAAAAACAACAATAAAGAACAATAGTATTTTTCTATTCATCAGGTGGTAAATTCATTATATTAACCAATGTAATGGAAATCTAACAAAATATTTGTAAAAAAAACAATATTAACACATTAATAATTTACTATATAGCATAAATAGTTCAAAATTTATTTTATCCATTTTATCAAACATTTTTTTAGAATATCAATTTTTATTATCCGAACCGTTCAATCCAATATAAAATGCACTGTTCCAATAATCAATGATTTCTTTGACTTTATTAGCAGGTGAACATTTGTTGGGATCAGCATCCATACATTGGTATGCTAATATAGAATTTTGAAATATCATTAGAAAATCCTGGTCTTACACCTCCACAAATTCTTAATACAAGATCTAGATCATGCCCTACATTGCTGAAAGGTTGTTGACCTATAGATATGACTGACATCAATACCATAGTATATGATTTTTTTATTCAAAACTTCAGGAGCAAACATATAGCAATCTCCAAATATCTCTCTCTTTTGAAGATGAACAATTTTTTGATTGAGAATTTATCCCCATGATAAATATTTATATCATAAATATAAATTACATTTAAAACATTATTGTTATGAAATTTAACATAATTTTGGAACTAAAAAATATTATTGCAAATAATGATTAATATATCTAAAAACTTACTTTCTGGTATGCTGTTGCTAATCTAGCAAGTCCTTGAACACTAATTAATTGATGAATATGAATTTGTGATCTAGATATATAGATGAATACATCAAACAAACTTGTCTAGAATCAAGCACAGACAAGAATTGAATAAGATTTTGTACTAATGTGTGGATTTGGATCTTCAATATGACACTGTACAACTCTAATAAACTAAAAAAAAGAAAATACAATTTTATTACAAGTATGAGCTAAACTGGAAGTACTTGTATCCAAAAGCTCTATTGTCTGAAATAGATTATGCAAAAACTTTGTGGTTGGATTTCTTCCAAGTTGGAGCTAATTGTTTCACCAATTGTCAAGAAAATCATCACATTTTAAAGCCATTCATTGGTCACATTACTACACTTAGTCACGGGAGGGGTGCGAATAACAAAAATGGGGGATGCGAATAACAATTCCCTAATTTTAATTAATTATAATTTTATTATTCGTAACACTTTATTTGGTCAGATGATGAATACAGTGTGACTAAAAATACCAGTTTTTTGCAATTTGGTTTTTTTTTCTCAGTCGCCACGATGTCGAGTAAATTGCAAGTACAAGTAGTAATAAAAGATTTTTTCAAGAATAATAGAAACTGGTCACTACTTAAGTT